GATTGTTACTGTTTTGTTATATATTACATGTTTCAAATAAAAAATTTTAATAAAAATTTTTATTATCTTTGGAATATCACAAACAACTATAAATTTTTCATCCTTTACATGAACTGTTTGTATGCAAGAGAATTTCATTTCGAAACTGCAATTGAATTTACAAACGGTAAGTTTGAGCAGGTAATACAAATTAATTAATTGTTTTTGTCAAGCCATTCAAGAATGCCTTTCTCTGATTCAGAGAGCTGCTCTTTTTTCTGCCTCAAAGATCCTTCTAACAAACCGAAGTAATCCCTGTAGTTGCGCTTGTAGTAACTCTCTAGTCTCTGCAAAGGGCAGAACAGAAAAGAGGGAAAGAAGTGAGAAAAATAGTACTTAACAAGTGTGTTTCAATACTTTTCCGTTTTGTACAAAGTCCCAATGGATATGTTATCTCAGATGCAATGGATGCACTCCACAGAACACTGGTGTTTACCTCCTTATCATTCTTGGTCTTGCTTTCCTCTGATTTCTTCAGATATTCTGAGGAAACATTTCAGTGGGTAAGCTCTCGAAAGAAACAGTTGTGAAGTTGAGCAATGAGAGAAAAGTGTACATAAGCATCTTAGTGATCAAAATAAGCAACAAAAAGCTAATAATAGCCGTATTGGAAGAATAATCTCATCAATTTACACCTACTTTTTAGAAGCTCAGTCCTGGAGTCATTGACTTGGATGACTGCAATTGCAGTTGTTGCAGTTGAAAGGAGAAGCCCTCTCCTTCCTCTCTCTGTACCTCTTGTTCTTATTCTTCCTTCTCTGTTATCTATTGCTTGTACTTTATAGGAAATGACGGTACTTGCCATAGCTGTTAAGGCCATGGGGATTGTTGATTTATGTAGAACTCTCTCTCTCTCTCTCTCTCTCTCTCTCTCTCTCCCTCCCCACAACCACAAGTTTGTGATATTATAATGATGAGGACAATGGGTTCCCATGGTCGATATAGTTTTGTATTTCAAGTAAAAAGGATAGGTACCGTATTCAGTACCAGCTAAAATATACATTTTAAAAAAAAATATTACATAATCCAAATGTATATTATTATTTAGATGAGTGCGGGATGAATGAGTTCCACTGAAAAAATTGATGGGATCCACTCATCTCAGTGATAATATACATTTAAATTACAAATTTTTGAGTTTTATAGCATTACTCTTCTTAAAAAAAGTTAGTTATAAGTTGCTTAAGGTCAAATTATCACAGAGAGAACTTAATTGGGTTAAATTACAAGTGGAAAAAAAAAAGTTGGATTGATAACTAAACATTAAGATTGAGCTAAACACGGTTCCAAACATCCCTATTTCATTCTTACCTCACCAGTTATAATATCATCCTTATAACTTAAAATACGGTGCCAAAAAATAATTCTTCACTACCATCCATTGCATTGCTTAAATATTAAAATGACGCAATAACCCATGAGCATGTTTGGCTCCTCTGATTGTGTGGCTTATAGTACTTTTCTTTTATTTTTTTTAACATAAATGGATAAACAAATAAACTACTCTATATATCTATGAAGTATTATCTATTAGCACCACACAATTCTCTACGGAAAACTCATCGTACCTGTGTCAGATCCGAAGTTAAGATCTCGTTGTGTGTTCTATGCACTGAAGAGTAAATTTAGCCCATCGAATTGTCGTTGCTATAAAAATTCAAAATCAAGCACTGAAGGAACAAATTTGGATTCTTACCTACTGTACCAACCACTCGATGGTACTTCTAGAATTTTTCAACAGTTCCTAAAATCCTATCTTTAAAATGTGAAAAAGGATCCGAAGTCAATGACTGTGTCATGGGGCGTTCGTTTGGAAGACCACTGTACCATAAATTAAATTGTTCACATGAGTACAAATTGGGAAATTTAGGTCACTAAAAGCTAAGTTTTCTAACTTTATTTTCTCATTTCTTAGAATTTTAACTTATTTTAAAACATTCACTCTTATCAGATTGCACCAAATGGTCCAACTACCCCTCCACTACCTAATAACTACTCATTTGTTTGTTTTAAACCACTTTCTGTCATCTTAACTTCTTTATAATTCTATATCTAACTTTCTAACTTCTTAAATTGTAGGATGATTAACGATAGAAAGGAAGGGAGGGTGGGTGGAAGGGAATGTAGGGGTCCAACTTAGGCGGGTAAACTCGAATTCAATTTAAGTCCAACTCGAAAAAAAACAGGGATTGAGTTAGAATTTTTAATATTTGGGTTGAATTTAGGCAAAAAAACCCTAACTCGAATTAAATTTGGGCAAGTCTCGGGTTGTCGGATTCAATCCGAATATTAAAATTGGGTTGAACCCGATTATTAAATCTGGTTGAACCTGATTATTAAATCTGGTTGAACCCGAATATATATAAATATATTTAATTAGGGTTAATATTTATTTTCACTCTTTCGCGTTCAGACTTTTATTTCACTTCAAGTCTTTATTCCTACGCCTCCATCACTCTTAGATTCCTATCTTACTCGTTACTCTGCCCTCTTTCAGCCTCCCTCTCTCAATCATCACTCATTTGAGTCGTCTCAGACTCTCAGCTTTCCTCTCTTACTTGTCGCTTCTCCCTCTCTCATTCTCTCTTTCTCTCTTCATTTGCGTCTTACCCTTCATCTCAGATCACTTAAAAAAAATAAATCTACACTTGAAAAAATTAAATCTACACATAAAAAAATCAACATGAATTAAGTAACTCAAGTCCAACCCCATTTTTAATTCGAATTAAGTAACACAAATTTAACTTAAGCCCGCTTAATTTAAACTTAGGTCGTACTCGGGTTGAGGACCTCAACTTAAGGTAGGGTTAGAGTTGAATCTTATATACTTAGAATTGAATTAGAATTGACCTCTCAATCTACCCAACCCATTTGAGTCACACCCCTAAGGGAAAGGGAAGCGGGTGAGATATGAATTTCGTGCATTGCACTCATAAGTTGATTTTTTTGCCTCTCATAAGCCAAGATGCCCCCATTTTAGTGACCAGAAATAAGACCAAAATCAATAAATGCTAATCCTTTGTTCACATGACATGCCAAACAGAGCGAGAAATGCTAAGAAATTTTGGCACGAGTATAGTGATAAGATTACTTTATTATAATTTCATGATTTAGAGTCATTGAATTATATAAGTATAAAACTGTGTATATCCAATCATCCTTAGACATTAGAGACGATACTAGAATTATATTAGAAACGAATTTATGGCAAAGTCAAAACTTTATTCAAGCCGAACATTGAGCTATTTATGGTAAATACTATCTATATTAGCAAAAAAATAAGTTTTTTTAACCGCAAAAAATAAAAGAATTAAGTTGAGAGGAGCCTTTGATGACATTCGCTTCCTATTTTTCTTTTTCATTGAACTTTAATTTTACCACTCATTCAACTTATCATCCCATCTATATAACTTTCCATCATTTATCCTTTCATCCAATTTTCCAAACTAACTCTTAACTCTCCATCATCTATCCTGTTTTGACTTTCCTAAAAACCCTCAAATATCAAGATGGGTGAACGTTAATTTTCATACAATACGTTGTATTTATCATATAAAATGAATTAAAATGTGCTAAAATACATGCAAAACTATTCATTGAAGTTTATTAAACAAAACTTCCCCCTCAATTTTACCACTTAATTATCTGAGTACACCTAAATCAACCAATTCCTTATACAATCAACAATTTCAACCCAAAAAATCAAAGAATCCAACAATTTGCACTCAAGTCACACTTAATTTTACTAAAGAATATAGACATTAGCAGGTACAGTCTTGAAATTCGAAAACATGAAGGGGTCATGCTTCCAGTTGGCTTGAAGATGCTGTCATCCCTGCCTATAGTAGCAGGAATCTTGTGCATCTTTTCAATCCATGTATAATTTTTTCCCACTGATGAAAATATCAATAAGTTTAAACAAATCTAAGTCAACAAGACAAAAAAAAAAAACACAAAATAATAATATTAAAAAAATAGAATGTAGAACTCGATTCAAGGCACGCTATGGAAGGCGCTCACTTTAGAGTAGAATGTCGTCGTCATCTAGTTGCAAATAGCCACTAACGTCCTATTCCCAAGATACAACGAACAAAGCAAGAACTATTAGTGTGCACTCAAACAAAAAATCAGACGAACTTGAATAAAACTTTAGTTGCCTTCTTAAAATAAAAACTTCTTGGACACTCAAAAGACTCGCAAGAGGAAATAAGTTCAAGAAAAGAATCTAATAAAGTGGAATACTAAAACCAAGTGAATGGAAGCCTTTTTATAGACAAAAATGACACATTATCCTAAAAGTCAGAAATATAAACATCACAACTGTTAATCTGTAAAAGTTGTGACTATTCATTAGGTTCTAACCATTTTTACCTAAAGTCATGATTACTCATGAAACTGTGACCATTCATGAACTAATGTTGTGACTACTCACTTCTAAAAACTATTACTCTTGGATTAAAAGTTGAGTTACTTAATTTAATTTTTATTATTATTTAAAATTTTAAAGCATGCTATAATACATAAAAATCAAGAGTTCATTTCCCCTCTCAATGTAATTTTCCACTCATGACACTCTTTAACTGTTCAAACTTTGGCAGGAAAGAAAGTGTCTAACATGATTATTAGGTACGCCTTGCTACCCTGTTAATGCATCCCTCCCACCTAAATCATTCTTCCTTTTGTATTGTGAAAACATTATATATTTGGGAATGTCAAAATGTCAAGGAAAGTTTATAACACCACCATAACAAGTAGTTTTTGCTTCATCATAGAAGTAAGTTAAGGAAAGAAATTCAGGAACAGTTTCCACAGAAAACTGAGTACATTGCTAGGTGGTAGTGGAATTTTCTAGCAAATTAAGGAGCATTAACACCCTCATTTGTTTACACCACTTCAAATATAACTCTGGGATGTCGAACACTATAGGGCCTCATCTTGACTCCTGTTCAGTTCCAAGGATCTCACCATCTGAGCTTAAAGGGGAAGTACTGCAAAAAATTATATCCAACTTAATAAAACAAACAAAAGAATATTATAGTTACCTAACTGTGGATTCATCATGTGAAACTCACCTTTTCAATGAGGGAGAGATAGTATGGTTTGACCTTTTCCACATCGATCCGAACTTTGCTCTTGCTGTAGAGGTCATATTTGCTACACATAGTTTGTAAAAGCACCAATTGTTTGTTAGTTAATGCAATTGAAACGTTCTAAAACAAGACAATGAACAAATCAAGTGAACACAAAGTGGGATCACACTTGAAAATGTGAAGCCATTTCAGATTCTCGACATCCTCCTCGTTCATCAGGTGTTTGTATGCTCCTGACGTATGCAATGCTACATCATGGTGGATGAGAATGTTCATTAGCAATAGATGAACTTGAGTATGGTTTATTTTGGCATTTATGTAGGAAATCAATACTTACGATAAAAGGAGTGGTATCGGATGATGAACACTGCAGCAGATGGTAAAGTAGTTTTATTTTCCTTAGCCACCTTCATGATTAAGACAGAATCACTAAATTATCTTTCCCAATTAGATTGTAGTGTTCATAGTAATACAAAAGAATTTAAGACTATTAAAGTATAGGAAATTTACATAATTTGCAGAAGATACATACCAAATACATGTAGTCATCGTGCCCCCAAGACATCATTACATTTTCGAGTCCACATCCTTCAGAGTAAACCCCATATTTGGTGTTGTAAGCAGGATTGTTGTAATCTGGATTGTCTGCAAAGTACTGCAATACAAGAAATTTGGAGAATTTATGTCGGTCGTGTGGCCACAATTGTATCTTAGACTTACTGCAGATTGGTCGAAAGAAGGACCTTGTGATGAACAATTGAATCATCGAAAGCACAGCCAATAGGGAATGTGTCACCTGTGGCAAAATTGCTTTCACTATATCAAAAAAATTCTAAATATGGTTGTTGCAAATCTTGCTGTTTTGACAGATTCCTTTACCGACAACAGCCCATTGAGGAAGTCCTCCAAAGCTAGGAAGAAGAAGAACTTTTCCAAGATCTGAAATCCAGGCAATGTTTGTGAATCACTTAAAAAACTAACAAAATTACAATGGCCAGTTAAAGAAACAAATAAGCTCTAGCAGTAAGCACACTTCATGAGCAGAGTATAATATAATTGGAATTCTATGTAAACTATCATACACAGAAACAGACTAAAACAAACACACACACACACAAAACTTAATCTCCGTAATGCACAACTCTTGATATTAATTACAACATTTCAGTCTTGAAATGAAATGAAGTAATTTAGATCGGGTAATATACCATGAATAAGGCCTGTCAAGTGCAACCAATCTTCATCAGGATAGTCTTTCCTTATTGCTTCAGCTGTTTGCAGCAAGTGCTCAATCTGAGGTTCATCCAAGTCAGGATCACTATCATCCACAACATCATTCAGCAGTTCACAGCATTCCCATATGCTCATCTCCACTCTGTTCAATTTCCCATACTCCTCCATCATCCTCTTCACCTGCATTTTGCATCAAATATTTGTTCATAGAAAGGGTTCAAGTCATAGAAACAGTCAGTCTCCCCACTTGTGGGGTAATGCTGAGTACATCTCATCCTCCCTCGATTAAGGGGCTGGCTTAAGAATCTCCCTCTTACAAAATTATGTTGGTTGATATGAATAGTAAAATAAAAGATTGCTTACAAAATCATATGTTTGGTTAATATGGCTCAACCGATAAAATTCCTCGACTGTCTTTTTCCTTTCACTTTCCGTGCCATAATCCCTATCGAGAATTTCCATATTAGATTTTTCTCATTGAGAACCAAAAGTTTGGACTTTAAAGCGGAAATCATATTAAAATTAACAGCAAGAAATCACCTAAATGAGTGGCCAAATGAATTGTTTTCAGGCATTGCAAATCCTGCATTTGGTTTGCCTCCAAATGCCACTTCATCAGACTCAAAAGATACCTTCTTGTCCTGTACCTCTACCTCTGATGATAATAACAATCATAAAGTAAAAAGGAAAGAAAAAATAAAGAAAACAATGCAACAAAAACAAAACAGAGAGAATAATATACCAAGCTCAAGGTGATCAATGAGGATAGCCATCTTCGCAGCAAAGTTTCAATGCTGACAGTACAATCAGAGAGAGAGATTTGCTCCTGAATGAGTATGCCAGTGAGCCATTGGTAGAGAGAGTATTTATAGCAAACTCAAAAAGTCCTTCCCGAAGATATGAAAAGTTTGGAGTCCTTAACTCAAAAACTTTTCTTAGTATGTTGAATCAGCTCTACGTGTATAACAACATCTAACCCAATAAAATTCATCTTTATATAGAAACTTCCATTCAAAATAATCTTAAGAGTTATGTATTAGTCTGTGCCAGAAAATGTGTTTATATTTAGTGGTGGTGAAAACCTACAAGCTGAGCTGTGGACTTGAATGTGGAATGGCCCTAATTAATCCAAAATTACCCATGTTAGAAGTGGCAATCCAATTGTCTTGTTTTGTGTTCATATTGTATTCGTGTTCGTATCAAATATTTGTCAACCCTAATTTAATTTATTAATACTAATCTATTCTATTTATTAATCGTGTCGTGTTCGAGTTGATCTTTACTGTATCATAATTGACCCACCATCCCTAGGTCTCTAGGAAGCAAAAATCCACTTTAGCTTTACGGTATCACAATTGACCACATCCATACTGACAAATTTGGGAGTTGTATTTTTTTAAGAAATCGGTAATAGACATTATTAAGAATGTCTAATCAATTAGTTCATTAATTTTAGTAGGAATGCCTTATCCATAATTATATCACATGACTATATTTACATAAAATCAATCTTACCTTGTTGAAATCCGCCTTAATTATACGATTCCAATTAAACTGAAATAAGTTAGGTGGTTGTGTATTGGGGTGTCCATGGGCCGGAAAGAGCTAGGCCCACGAATTTTTTTGGGCCGGGTCTGGGTAGTATAGGCTCAAACCCTTATCCAAGGAGTAGGCTACCCGTAGTCCAACTCGCGAGTTTACTGGGCGGGCTTTTTTTATATATATCTTCATTTAAAAATAATAAAAATTTTTGTAACTTACTATTTGTGTAAATTATATTTTTGAATAAAAAATAGAGTCAAAATGAATAAAAATAAAATAATGAATAATTTTATTTTTAATTAGGGATGAACTATATTCAATAGAATGAATACATCTTAACTAGGTTGACTCCTACTCACGTATCTATCTGTTGCATTACTCTATCCTTTAAAACTTGTATGCTTAATACATGAAAAATAAAATAATATCTTATTTTTAGTATCTAAATTTTTAAAATTTCTAATTTCGACATTGAGAGACTTATTTCAAATTTAATGGTCTAAAAATATAATTTTTTTCTAAATGAAGGGTGGGCGGACTATGTGGGCGAGTTGGGCATGGCGGGCGGACTCTTGGGCCGAGCTTTGGACCGGATAATAGGTTTGGGGGCAAACACAAGCCCTCTTTTAAAGATATTGGACTCAGGCTCGGGTTGGCCAACTATCAGACCTATCAGATTTTGGATCTATTTTTTTCGAGCCGGTAACAGAACCCGTGAGTAACCAAGACCATGGACATCCCTAGTTGTGTATAAGACTCGGATACTCTCCAATACTATATTTATCCAATTATTTGAATTCTAGATCGTCTACAGTATATAAAAGAGGGACGTTGCCCATATACAGGGAGAGAATTTGCTATGGATATATTATACTTTGACCCTCTTAATTATGTCTTTATATCATATTACTTTTTTAATTTATCACATATTTTATATTGCACTTCAAATTGTGGGTATCGATGTCATCTTGCTCTTTATAATTGACGGGCTCGTTTGGTAAACGTATTATGAGGGGATTAAATATTAAATTGTACTATTTTTTATTTAATCGGGCCTAACACTTTGTTTGGTAAGCAAATTTTATACCGTATTAATTTCAAAAACGTATATTGATCGTATACTTATCGTATATTTTTTATACGATAGCTCTGTATTATGTAGGTTTTTTAATACCACCAAGAGAGGTGGTATTATAATTCAACTCAAACGTATTATTTTACACATTTACTATTATAACCCTTTAACTGATAAAATCAAGTTGTCATCAATGTAACAAATACTGATTGAGGATATTTTTGTTAATTCAATATTAATACGATAAAATAATTTTCTAACCAAACAACTAATTGGATTAAATAACTACTATCCAACACTTATATTGCGTATTACCAAATAATTGATAAAATTACGTATTATTCTAATACCCTATTTGATTTTGTTTTTTGTCATTCCGTATTGTATTAGACTGTATTACTATATTTAGTCGATCCATTTCTAATACGACAACCAAACGAGCCCGACGTGCATTACAAATTTGGGTGGAAAGTTGTGCCATTTTATTGCATGAACTATATGAATCATGTTATCTTAAAATCAAATAATACATTGATATTTTCCACGTAAAACATAACTGATTCAATTTCGGACAACGTTAAACATTTGATTCGGGCAGGAGAAAGGGGTACTACGTCTCCAGTCAGTAGATTCATTCAGCACAAATTCAAATTCTTTTGGATGACTCTTACCATGTTATGATAATCTTGTGGATAACTCTTAACATCTTATATCTATCTATCATATTAAGCCTAGCCTTAATATATGTTGCCATTGGATCACGTATATGAGATGGTGATTAAGCCTGATTTCTAGCCAAAAATGAAGGTGAGATTAAGCTTTATCCTACCCAAAAATGCTAATTCTAGAAGACAACTAATAATGCCATTTTCTTGAAAAATTTTATTATATTCAGCTTTATCCAAAAGAAGAAGTTTGAGTAGATTCGAATCATCTCACTCTCAATTTTTATCGATTTTGATTAAATTCAATGATTCATATCACCTCTCTGTTTCGAATTAATGTTGTAAATGAGTATCTTCAAGGATTTTCTAGCCTGATTACGAAGGAAAGTAGCATAACAAAGAAAACAGATGATTTACATATCTATATACAGATAGAGTAGCCTCTCCCAAGTGTCAGTAGGTTGAATTTTTATACCAGAAAAAAATCTAATATAAAAGGTTTTATCCCAAGAATTATGCAAGCACACATAGAAAAGCAGAGGTCCTAAGCTTGGGCCAGGCTTTGGGCCTATGATTGAGCCCTTGGGCAAGCATTTTTTTTTTTTTTATCTTTCGAAAGTCAGTACATCAAATTAAACTTATTAGTAATTAAGTTCATAGTGAAAAATATTTTGTAAAAAGATCCTCCAGTGATTTAGAAATACTTGAATACCCTTTTAATATATAGCAGTTGACTAAAATGATTTTGAAAAACCAAAACCAATAATAAATCCTCTCCATAAAATGATTTTCATCCGAAGATCCTAATTGGACTTTTATTCATTTTACAACTCTAAGACCTTGTGCCACTGTTTTGATAACATTTTAGCCATGAAAAATTTATCCGAATCCAATTTTAGGCCAACTTTAATTATTTTAATTACTAGATTCATATGGATAAAATTATTTGTTCATATGTCATGATTCAGAGTATTCTATACATAATGACGAGCCCAAACATCTTGTGTATAGAAATTTATGTTTGATAAAATTATATTTATTTTAATTTTATGGTGACAAGCCAAAGCATCCCATAATTTTAAAATATAAGAAAATTTATCAATAAAAAAATTTTGTGTTTATCCATGACATTGAACACTTGCACCATATTAAATAATGGCTTTACCCCAAAGGGAAGCTATAATATCATAAGTGATCGGTGGGGTGAAATAATGGTTTGAGGTATTGTGGCTAAGTTGAATTCTTGTTGCCCAAAGGTCTTGAATTATATTTTTCTATGATTCTTTATGCCGTTAGTTTCATCATTAGGTAAATCATTAAAATGTTGTATAAATTGATTTACCACTAAAATTGCTAATATGAGTTAGTAATTTGGATAAAGTTTAAGCGTGATTATTAGCATGCATATTAATTGTAAGCATGCAATGTTTTATTTTACAGCTTTACTTTCTAGTCTTTTGTCTCAATCTCCATCTTATATCCCTCTCCTTAATGGTTCAAATTTCTCAGAATGGAAAGATAGAATTATCTTTACTTTGGGGTGTATGGAGATTGACACGGCACTTCGTGAGGATAGACCACCTATCCCTACGGAATTTAGTGTGCCTGAGGAGAAAAAGTTGCATGAGAAGTGGGAGAGGTCTATTCCGAACTCCAAAACTGCTAAAGAGTTCATAACTGTAGTTGAGGAGCAATTTGTGAGCTCTGAAAAGGCACTTGCAAGCATCTTAATTTCAAAGTTTGCTTCTTTGAAGTATAATGGTCACAGTGACATACGCGAGCACATTATGGAATTATGTGACATCTCTGCCCAACTCAAATCACTGGATGTTGACATGTCTGAGACATTTCTTGTCCACTTTGTCCTTGATACTCTACCTTCAGAGTATGCTCCATTTAAGATCTCTTACAACACACATAAGGAGAAATGGTCTATGAATCAACTTTTGACCATGTGTGATGAAGAACAGAGACTAAAGCAAGAGAGGCAAGAAAGTGTCAATTTGACCTCTCATAAAGAGAAAGGACAGGTGGAAGTAGGTAGTAGCAGCTACCATGTTCCGATTAAGAAAAAGAACATGAAGGTGTCAGCCAAATCGGCAGGCAAAAAGGACTTCAAATGTTTCTTCTGCAAGAAAAAGGGACATGCAAAGAAAGACTGCATCAAGTATAAGAAATGGCTCGAGAAGAAAGGTACATTTCTTTCTTTAGTGTGTTATGAATCAAATTTCATTAATGTACCTCATAACACATGGTAGATTGACTCTGGTACAACTGTCCACATATGTAATACCATGCAGGAATTGCTGAACAAAAGGGCCCCAACGAAAAGTGAACGATGCATCATTATGGAAAATTAGATGCGGTCACGTGTGGAAGCTGTTGGGATGTTCAGACTTGTTCTAAAGACTGACCACATCATATATTTGCATGACACTTTCTATGTTCCAAGATTTTCTAGAAACCTTTTATCAGTATCTAGACTTGTTTC